AACAACATCGGCAGCAGCAACAACATCAGCGGCAGCAGAAACAACGACACCAGTCACAGTCGACGAAGCACCACCAACACCCGCGCAACAGCTGAATCGGACTCAGCGTGAAGTCCACCGAAGCGCCAACCTCGTCGCCAGCTTTTACTCCAACTCCAACGCATATCAGCGTTCACCCGGACACCGCGCCTCTGAAGAGATCTGGCACGCACGCACAGGACATCCAAGCAACACGGTTTTGAATAACACGATAAGAGCAGGGGTCCTCGACAAAGACTCTCTACTTCTACCCGATGGCAGAGAACTCCAGAAGGCACGAGGGACTTGCCTTATATGTCCCGAAGCTGACTTACCTCATCGACCGTTTGCTTCACATCACAACCCGAGCGCTCCAGCATACGCACCACTCGAAAAAGTCTACAGCGACATCCTCTACAATCGCGAACCAGGACAAGTCAACTAGAACTACACCATCACCTTCATCGACGCCGCCACTCGATACGTCTGGCATCGCAACCTACCCAGCCGCGACATGGCGCTCGCAGCATTCGCCGCCTGGCTACCGATAGCAGAAAGAGAGTCTGGAACACAACTGAAAAATTTCCAGTCAGACGGAGGTGGCGAGTACACCTCTCAGCGCTTCAAGCAGTTCTTGGCGGAAAGGGGGATCAAGCAACTCCTCTCCCTTCCCTACGCACATCAGCAGCAAGGTGTTGCAGAACGACTGAACAGGACCCTGCAGAACAGCATGCGCAAACTGTTACGTGGCATGCGGCTACCCAACCACCAGTGGCCAGCAGCAATGGACCACGGTGTCATGCTGCACAACTTGTTGTCGTCGTCGTCACTCCCGAACAACGCATCACCGCATCTGCTGTGGACAGGGAAGCAGGGGAGCACGAAAATGTTACGAGTTTTCGGGTGCATGGTACAGTACAGACCCCCAGAAGCACGAGCGGGAAGATTTTCGCAACGGGCACAGTGGGGACTACACCTCGGCATCGAGAAAAATTACAACGCATGGAAAATCTTCGACGTCCACACAAAGGAAACAGTAGCAGCACGTGATGTGATCTTCTACGAAAGACTCACCCTTCAGACGTACCTCGCCAACTTGCACGAGAATCGGGACCTCACCAGTGGTTTTCGTGGTGACCGAGCCTTCGCGTCAGCAGCGGACGAAGCAGACTGGGATGAACAGAACGTCGACAACGCCTCAGAAGAAGCCGGACCTCTCCCATACTGCTCCGTCGACGTACCCATGGATGAGGATAATCCTCGCGACAGTAACAACGCCGAAATCTTCTACCGCTTCGCCGACGATGGTTACGTAACACCTGTGACAGTCAACACCAACGAAGTAGAAAGGGTAGGGCCAAATTTCATGCCCGACCCAGAAACGGGAGACGAAGCAGCTTATCCCGAGGATCCAGAACTCCCTCGATACTCACAGACTGGGCTGCAAATCCTTGGTCTCGTCACCGCAGTCCATGGCGCCGGCATTCCTGAGGAGCCTGCGACGGTTCAGCAGGCTCTGGGGGGGGAACACAGGGAGAAATGGCGTGAAGCTATGGACAAAGAGCTGAAGGCACTGGAGGAGCGCAACACCTAAAAACAAAATAAAAACATTCTTACCGGAAAATGGGTCTTCCGTGTGAAGACGAAAGCTGATGGCACCATCGACAAATTCAAAGCCCGCTGGGTCGTACGTGGCTTCGACCAGGAGCACGGAAGAGATTACACCGAAACCTTCGCTCCGGTCAGTCGCCACACCTCACTCCGAATCCTCATCGCCGTCGCCGCCATGAAGAAAAAGAAATTACGACAGATCGACGTTGCGAACGCATTTCTCTACGCACCTGTGGATGCAGAAATCTTCGTTGAACTCCCGCACGGCTCCCACGGCGAACCCAACCGAGTGTGTCAACTACTCAAATCACTCTATGGGATCAAGCAGGCACCGCGACTGTGGCAGCAGTACCTACACGCCCGCCTCATCCGCATCGGCTTCAAACAACTCCCGCATGACCAGGGCATGTATCGCCTCACAAAAGGAGGCGATTACGTCCTATTAATCGTCTATGTGGACGATCTTCTCTACATTGGGTCAACCGACAACATCGCCGCGTGGTTCGAAGGGGAGCTCCAGAAAGACCTCACGCTCACGGTCTCTTCTACGGTTACGCAATACCTCGGGCTCAACATCCGTGAGGAAGAAAACGCAATCTACCTAAGCGCCGAGAAGTACGCCGACACTATCGCGAAACGCTTTCGTCTCACACCAAGCGCCATCTCCACGCCTTATCGCTACGCGTCAGGAACCGAAAAGGGGCAATCTACTCTACTTAAACCCGCCGGCATACGCGACTATCAGAAGAAGCTAGGATGCCTACTTTTCGCAGCAGTCATGTGCCGTCCCGACCTATCCTACTCCGCGAGTCAGCTCGCTACCTATCTCAAGAGACCTGAAGCAGAGCATCTGGCGGAACTCGATCGTGCTCTCCACTACTTCGTCAGCACCGCGACGATCGGACTAACTTATCACAAAATCGTGACTACACCGACCAAACTAATCGGCTACGTCGACGCCGATCACGCCGGCGACACCGACAACAGGCGCTCACGCACCGGCTATGTCTACCGCCTTGAGCCTATCGGTCCTATCTCCTGGCAGTCAAGCAAGCAGGAGTTAATCGCAGTATCTTCAGCAGAAGCAGAATATATCGCACTCTGCTCAGCCACCAAGGAGGGACTTTACCTTCGCGAACTACTGGAAGAAACGAAACTAGCCGAGTTACCCAGCTTCACCGTGTTCTGCGACAACCAGTCGGCAATCCGCATCGCCAACAAAAACGGCTTCGCAAACAGGACGAAACACATCGCCCTGCGCTATTTCTTCGTGAAGGACGAGATAGAAAAAGGGAAACTCGATCTGTCATACTGCCCAACATCCGAGATGGCAGCCGATTACTTGACCAAGAAACTCGGAAAGCAGAAGTTCGAATACTGCATGATGCTGACTGGACAAGGCCACGTCACCAGCAGCGACACTCCAGAAGCGAAGGGGAGTGTTGGAAACAATAAGTCCTAAGTGCGCTTCTGTCGTATCAAACCCAAGGCACCAAGCGAAGCAGTCCCAAACGAAGCATCGAGTCAACCTCGGAGGTTAGGGTAACCGCCTGGAGGTTACGAGAAAGTCAAAGGTCGCTGACCTTTGACTCGACAGCGCGACAGTTAAGGACACACAACTGACTCGTTACAGAGCAGTTGCCCGAGTCGCACTGTATCGAACCGCAACAGCAATACAGTTATCTACCTATCTATTCGTATTCCCTGTACTCTTATATAAATCCTTGTATTTGCTTGTTTAATTTAATCTACTTTGCTCTCACACACCAGTGCAAGGTCGGTTCACAATCCTCATTAAAACGCTTCCGCTATTACAAGTTTCTACCCAAGAGTTCTCCTCTGCAAAGATCCTAAGGGCTATTTCTCAGCCCAACACCAATCACCCCCGAGAAAATCCTGAGTCACAGAGTTCGCGACCCTCGAGGAGCCCGAAGGATCAAGTTCTTACTCCGCTGGAAGGACCGTACACCCACCGAAGACAATTGGGTTCCCTTAGACAGAATCGAAAACCACCCCGTCCTTACCGAGTATCTGCGCAACCGAAATTTCAGGGATGTACACGCACTTTCGTAAGGAGGACCTCCTTAGGGGGGGGGGGGGGGGGGGGGGGGGGGGTGGTAGTGTCGGGAAAATCCCTTTTCCTTACTTCGCATCCCAGCTCAACGCGTACATCACTGTAGCACCACAGTCAGCACCATTACCACTCGCAAACATCACATCGACAATCCGTCCGCCACCTTCGCACGTCGCACCCCGACTTCACGGCTCGGCGGGTAACCCGCGCTCCGGGCCTCCGCTTCGACACTTTTTTCCCAACCTCAGTCCCAGGCCCGTCGCGCGACAACCACAGTCCATTACCGTTACCAGTGTAGTTTCGCTATATATTCTTCGCTCATGCCTCTCTTTGTGCTCTTGCTTAGATAGTGCAATTATCGTTCGTTCACTCAATTGCACTGGTAACAGGATGCAACAACAGCCACGGAAAAAAAAAACACTTGGAGGAAGACACGTGCGAGGAAAACCTGCCACCGAGCATATTCTACAGTCCCAGTTCGCTTGCGTGGATGGATGAAAGCTGACGCTGGCAGTCGAATGAACCAGAAAGTTCATACGCGCCCTGTCGGAAAAACACGGACGATTGCGGGATCGCTCCCGCGTGCTCGCGGAAGCGTTCTGCCCGCGGGCAAGAGCAAACTAAAACCCGCTCGGAAGGCATGCGGTTCGGGAGCATCAAACCTCAGAATGTCGAAGGTCTTCCAAGCCAGAAGGGACGGTCGAACCCAACCTGCCATACAAACGAAGTCAGAGATCAAGGAATGGATCTCACCCAAGGGTATCCAGCTAATGGCGAGCAGCAGCAGAAAGTCGGTGGTTTCCAAAACCATTGGCTGAGGCGGCACAACACAACCGAGGAGCTGTTCCAGCAGCTTTTGACCGAGGTGCATTTGATAAGTTGAAGCAGGTTGGATTCTAGGAGGTGCGGGCGGATCCAGTCCAGGAAGACCGGGAGGAAGGGGATGTTGCGGGACGGGGGAAGCGGGATCAAAAAGAGGAAACGCGCTTCGTGGGAGCGCGGTCAAGAAGACTTGTCGTTACATGGCCATCGTGGCTGTGCTGAACAACCACAGAACATTCTCGAAGAATTTCGCGGATGACACGTGACCCCGCCTGGGAAACAGTGAAATTTAGGATGTTTTACGTAAAGCCCCGCGCCGCAATTGTTTTTTCACTGGGACTCACAGCCAGATCACTTGTAAAGTCACAGAGCTCAGTAGTTCTCACCTAAACTTTCATCTTGATACTGCTTGGCTTGCTTTGCTTCAGAAGGGGCGAGTCGTTCCATTCTGAAGCGAGCATCTTCATCTACCGGTATGGCGCGGCTCATTCGCGCGATTTCTGCGCTTCCTACCCTCCTTATCCTTCTACTCGCGATCGTCATACGGATCCCTTCCGCATTTGCAAATGTCGACCTTTACACCGTGTGCGGTCGACAAGAGGCAGAGGATGGCACGGTGTCGTTCAAAGTAGTCACGTACAACACGTTGCTCCCCATCAGCCAGCCGGTCTCGCCGCTTGACGCGGTCATTCCTCCCAAGGGCCTCGTTAGCGTCACGGGCGACTGCACATACGCCGTCGACTCGGCATGCAACATCGTAACTAAACGTACGTGTTCTGATACCTCATGTTTTGTGAATATCATGACAATCAGTCACTGTCATCTCATGATGTGAACTTCTCAGTTTCCAGCAGACCGGAGACTGCATATCAAGCGAGAATTCCCAAACGATGCTGTGATCAGGGGTTGCTGCTTCGCTTCTTGCCTCTGCGTATTCCCAATGCCTTTGTATCCTTGTATCCTTTTCTACACCACGTTCCAACTTCTATCCTGTACGTTTCTTCTCTTGGTTCTTGCAGTCCCCCAATGCAAGGCCAGCACGTGCTGCGTCTACTCTAAGGGTCCATTCCGTCTGGCTCTAAGCCCCGCGTGCTCCTCTCCAGATTGCCGCGCTTGGGCGACTGAGTTCTCCGGTCGCTGCCTCGGCGGCGTTGTGAGCAGCAACTGTAATGTGTAGGCAGACGCGCAATGCTGGGAGCGTTTCGACGATACTCCGGAATACAAAGTATGGCTATCAGAAAGGCAAATGGTGGCGGCAGAGAAACCAGGTGCCACTTGGTTGTGAAAAACGTTTTGTGCAGGGTTTGTGCTTAGCTAACTCGTCCTCACAAAAGTGAAATACCACATCAGAGATCAACTAGTCCAACTGATCCATGGCTGTGTTAGGCTTGCAATAAAAACCAGTTCCTGTCAGATGTTTATACGTAACTTTTTAACCAATGGATTCCTTATTGCTGTAGCTTTTTAGATGGTATTATTTTTATGTCCACGATGGGGACAGGACATTGCTGCACCATTGTCGAAGTTATTGTTTCCTGTCAGATAATACCTGCGAAAATTGCTATTTCACTTACGCAATTCCTATTTCCAACTCAGGCGCAACCCCATTTCTTAACCATACTCGATCTTTAATACATAGTAGAGTGCTTGTTTGCGATTTCCTCAATATAACATAAATATAATTTCATTCACATATTGTACAGATCACCAAAAAGTGAGTAATGAATAAAGAAGTTGCAAATGAACTGACATCTGTACTCACGTCATTTTTTCTGTAGGTGCATGTGGTTGTTTCCATACTCGGTACACCAGAAAATGTCATGCTTTGATCAGCTGTTGGATGCGCGAAATCAAACCCCAAAAAGTTTCTGATGGGGGCTTGAGGGGAGCAAGGAGCACCTCTTCCGCAGGCCCTATAAACTACCACCTCTCCCCTTCGTTTGGCCTCTTTTTCACTTGGAGGGGGAACCCCGGAGTCCCTCAACGACGGAATAGTCCTGAGAGGGAACGCCGAGGCGCGCGAGCAGGCGATTAAGCGGACGTACAGAGTTTCTTAGTTGGTTTAGACAGTCAGCAGCCATGCAGATCTTCGTGAAGACCCGTAAGCATTGCTATCCCTGTTATATTCCTTGTAGATGGTGTCATGGTTATACCAATTCCTCCGTCTCCTTCCCCACTTTACCTACTAAGCGTATTCAGTCCGCTGTGCCGTTGTTCTTGTTCTAGATATTGCTGTACCGTACCTCCTTGTGCTTGCCTTTTCCCGTCTTGCTCGTTCGTCGTGTCCCCCAGTTTTTTGTTTGGCTCCCTAGAAGCCATTCTGCCCATGTTCTACTTGCTGTTATGTCATGCCCTGTTCATTCGTCGTAGTTTGACATCTGAATCCATGTGTTGCTGTCTTCCGACTCCATACCTTGGTTTCATTTATGCTCATGTTGTCGCACTATTTTGCCCTCGTCTTGTTTCTTCTTAATCATTGCTCTCACCTCATGCACCCAGTTGGATCCTCTGGACTTCTCTCTTCATTAATCCGCTTTCCTCTCCCCCCGCGGGCCCTTCCTGTCTGATATATTAACCGTGTAAGCAACTCTTTTTCACATTGAAATATCCTCTCTTGCGTGCCTCTTCTTTCAGTGACGGGCAAGACTATCACCCTTGAGGTGGAGTCGTCCGACACGATCGACAATGTGAAGGCCAAGATCCAGGACAAGGAGGGAATCCCTCCCGACCAGCAGCGCCTTATCTTCGCCGGCAAGCAGCTCGAGGACGGCCGCACGCTCGCGGATTATAACATTCAGAAGGAGTCTACCCTCCATCTGGTGCTGCGCCTGCGTGGTGGTGCCAAGAAGCGCAAAAAAAAGACGTACACCAAGCCTAAGAAGATCAAGCACAAGAAGAAGAAGGTGAAACTCGCGGTGCTGCAGTTTTACAAGGTGGACGACAGCGGCAAGGTTCAGCGCCTGCGTAAGGAGTGCCCGAACCCCGACTGCGGCCCGGGTACCTTCATGGCTAACCACTTCGACCGCCATTACTGCGGCAAGTGCGGCCTGACCTACGTGTACAAGAAGGAAGGCGGTGACGAGTAAGGTGGTCGGAGCTGAGCTGTGCGATGAGACTGGGGTTTTGCTTGCTGGGCCGTGTTTAGGCATTGCTTAGCTCGAGCTTGCTCTTTCCCTGTTAAACAGACTTGATGAAAGATGCGATTAAGTCGCTTTTGGTGACTATGCGTGAAGCTGCCATTTGTTGGGCTGAGAAATAGCCCTTAGGATCTTTGCAGAGGAGAACTCTTGGGTAGAAAACTTGTAATAGCGGAAGCGTTTAATGAGGATTGTGAACCGACCTTGCACTGGTGTGTGAGAGCAAAGTAGATTAAATTAAACAAGCAAATACAAGGATTTATATAAGAGTACAGGGAATACGAATAGATAGGTAAATAACTGTATTGCTGTTGCGGTTCGATACAGTGCGACTCGGGCAACTGCTCTGTAACGAGTCAGTTGTGTGTCCTTAACTGTCGCGCTGTGATTGTCGAGTCAAAGGTCAGCGACCTTTGACTTTCTCGTAACCTCCAGGCGGTTACCCTAACCTCCGAGGTTGACTCGATGCTTCGTTTGGGACTGCTTCGCTTGGTGCCTTGGGTTTGATACGACAGAAGCGCACTTAGGACTTATTGTTTCCAACACTCCCCTTCGCTTCTGGAGTGTCGCTGCTGGTGACGTGGCCTTGTCCAGTCAGCATCATGCAGTATTCGAACTTCTGCTTTCCGAGTTTCTTGGTCAAGTAATCGGCTGCCATCTCGGATGTTGGGCAGTATGACAGATCGAGTTTCCCTTTTTCTATCTCGTCCTTCACGAAGAAATAGCGCAGGGCGATGTGTTTCGTCCTGTTTGCGAAGCCGTTTTTGTTGGCGATGCGGATTGCCGACTGGTTGTCGCAAAACACGGTGAAGCTGGGTAACTCGGCTAGTTTCGCTTCTTCCAGTAGTTCGCGAAGGTAAAGTCCCTCCTTGGTGGCTGAGCAGAGTGCGATATATTCTGCTTCTGCTGAAGATAGTGCGATTAACTCCTGCTTGCTTGATTGCCAGGAGATAGGACCGATAGGCTCAAGGCGGTAGACATAGCCGGTGCGTGAGCGCCTGTTGTCGGTGTCGCCGGCGTGATCGGCGTCGACGTAGCCGATTAGTTTGGTCGGTGTAGTCACGATTTTGTGATAAGTTAGTCCGATCGTCGCGGTGCTGACGAAGTAGTGGAGAGCACGATCGAGTTCCGCCAGATGCTCTGCTTCAGGTCACTTGAGATAGGTAGCGAGCTGACTCGCGGAGTAGGATAGGTCGGGACGGCACATGACTGCTGCGAAAAGTAGGCATCCTAGCTTCTTCTGATAGTCGCGTATGCCGGCGGGTTTAAGTAGAGTAGATTGCCCCTTTTCGGTTCCTGACGCGTAGCGATAAGGCGTGGAGATGGCGCTTGGTGTGAGACGAAAGCGTTTCGCGATAGTGTCGGCGTACTTCTCGGCGCTTAGGTAGATTGCGTTTTCTTCCTCACGGATGTTGAGCCCGAGGTATTGCGTAACCGTAGAAGAGACCGTGAGCGTGAGGTCTTTCTGGAGCTCCCCTTCGAACCACGCGGCGATGTTGTCGGTTGACCCAATGTAGAGAAGATCGTCCACATAGACGATTAATAGGACGTAATCGCCTCCTTTTGTGAGGCGATACATGCCCTGGTCATGCGGGAGTTGTTTGAAGCCGATGCGGATGAGGCGGGCGTGTAGGTACTGCTGCCACAGTCGCGGTGCCTGCTTGATCCCATAGAGTGATTTGAGTAGTTGACACACTCGGTTGGGTTCGCCGTGGGAGCCGTGCGGGAGTTCAACGAAGATTTCTGCATCCACAGGTGCGTAGAGAAATGCGTTCGCAACGTCGATCTGTCGTAATTTCTTTTTCTTCATGGCGGCGACGGCGATGAGGATTCGGAGTGAGGTGTGGCGACTGACCGGAGCGAAGGTTTCGGTGTAATCTCTTCCGTGCTCCTGGTCGAAGCCACGTACGACCCAGCGGGCTTTGAATTTGTCGATGGTGCCATCAGCTTTCGTCTTCACACGGAAGACCCATTTTCCGGTAAGAATGTTTTTATTTTGTTTTTAGGTGTTGCGCTCCTCCAGTGCCTTCAGCTCTTTGTCCATAGCTTCACGCCATTTCTCCCTGTGTTCCCCCCCCAGAGCCTGCTGAACCGTCGCAGGCTCCTCAGGAATGCCGGCGCCATGGACTGCGGTGACGAGACCAAGGATTTGCAGCCCAGTCTGTGAGTATCGAGGGAGTTCTGGATCCTCGGGATAAGCTGCTTCGTCTCCCGTTTCTGGGTCGGGCATGAAATTTGGCCCTACCCTTTCTACTTCGTTGGTGTTGACTGTCACAGGTGTTACGTAACCATCGTCGGCGAAGCGGTAGAAGATTTCGGCGTTGTTACTGTCGCGAGGATTATCCTCATCCATGGGTACGTCGACGGAGCAGTATGGGAGAGGTCCGGCTTCTTCTGAGGCGTTGTCGACGTTCTGTTCATCCCAGTCTGCTTCGTCCGCTGCTGACGCGAAGGCTCGGTCACCACGAAAACCACTGGTGAGGTCCCGATTCTCGTGCAAGTTGGCGAGGTACGTCTGAAGGGTGAGTCTTTCGTAGAAGATCACATCACGTGCTGCTACTGTTTCCTTTGTGTGGACGTCGAAGATTTTCCATGCGTTGTAATTTTTCTCGATGCCGAGGTGTAGTCCCCACTGTGCCCGTTGCGAAAATCTTCCCGCTCGTGCTTCTGGGGGTCTGTACTGTACCATGCACCCGAAAACTCGTAACATTTTCGTGCTGCCCTGCTTCCCTGTCCATAGCAGATGCGGTGATGCGTTGTTCGGGAGTGACGACGACGACAACAAGTTGTGCAGCATGACAGCGTGGTCCATTGCTGCTGGCCACTGGTGGTTGGGTAGCCGCATGCCACGTAACAGTTTGCGCATGCTGTTCTGCAGGGTCCTGTTCAGTCGTTCTGCAACACCTTGCTGCTGATGTGCGTAGGGAAGGGAGAGGAGTTGCTTGATCCCCCTTTCCGCCAAGAACTGCTTGAAGCGCTGAGAGGTGTACTCGCCACCTCCGTCTGACTGGAAATTTTTCAGTTGTGTTCCAGACTCTCTTTCTGCTATCGGTAGCCAGGCGGCGAATGCTGCGAGCGCCATGTCGCGGCTGGGTAGGTTGCGATGCCAGACGTATCGAGTGGCGGCGTCGATGAAGGTGATGGTGTAGTTGTAGTTGACTTGTCCTGGTTCGCGATTGTAGAGGATGTCGCTGTAGACTTTTTCGAGTGGTGCGTACGCTGGAGCGCTCGGGTTGTGATGTGAAGCAAACGGTCGATGAGGTAAGTCAGCTTCGGGACATATAAGGCAAGTCCCTCGTGCCTTCTGGAGTTCTCTGCCATCGGGTAGAAGTAGAGAGTCTTTGTCGAGGACCCCTGCTCTTATCGTGTTATTCAAAACCGTGTTGCTTGGATGTCCTGTGCGTGCGTGCTAGATCTCTTCAGAGGCGCGGTGTCCGGGTGAACGCTGATATGCGTTGGAGTTGGAGTAAAAGCTGGCGACGAGGTTGGCGCTTCGGTGGACTTCACGCCGAGTCGGATTCAGCTGTTGCGCGGGTGTTGGTGGTGCTTCGTCGACTGTGACTGGTGTCGTTGTTTCTGCTGCCGCTGATGTTGTTGCTGCTGCCGATGTTGTTTCTGCTGTCGATGTTGTTGCTGCTGCCGATGTTGTTGTCTCTGCTTCTTGTTGAATCGTTGCTAACGCTCTTGTTCGTTCTGCTTCAGGGATAGTGTGGGAGTACCAGAAACCTCCCGGGCTGAAGTCGGGGTCGAGATCCGGAGGGTGTGTCCAATCAGCAAAGTTCACAATGGCGTCGCTGTCTGCAGTGCCGAGGTCAGGAACGAAGTCGAGGACGAAGACGTTGTTCTTCAGCACTGCTTTTCCGATGTAGAGACCGCCTCTCCCGTGGTAAAGCTTGAACTCCTGGGTCGTGCTGTCGGCTTCCAGATGAATTCCTTTCGCCATCAACTGGCTAACGCTCAGTAAGTTGTAGCCGAGTCCTTCAGCGATGAGTACCTTAGACATGTGCAGTATGACATTTGTTTCTCGTGACTGAAGCTGTACCACTCCTTGCCTTCGTGTGCGCAGGTTTTGGTTGTTGGCAACCGTGATGATTACTTCCCGTTGGAGTCGATGTTCGCGTTGTACGAAACGCTCGGACGAGCACATGTGTTGCCCGCAGCAACTGTCCAAGAACCAGGTGTCTTGGCCGGACGGTTCACTTTGAGCGATGGCGGCGTAAGTCGGATTTGGATGGAGTGATTCGCGACGAGGCGTCCTGTTGTCGAGCTCCTCTTCCGGTGAGTAATGGGGTGGTGACTCTGTTACGCAAGAGTCGTTTATCTTGACCATGCAGTTGACTATATGTCTTGCTCCTTGCGCAGGTTGTCCAGTTGAGGTTGTTGAAGCTTGAATCGTGGTTGTCGAGCTTGCTTGTGTCGAAGCAGCTTGGGTGCTTGAAGCCCGCAGTTGTCGCTGTGGTGTTGTCTGTCGAGACGGGCAGTGCGTGCGTGGGTGTCCTGATGTCTTGCAGATGTGACAAAATGGAGGTACTAACTTCGGCTGCTGCTGTCGATTGTTGTAGTAGTTGTGTCGTCGCTGAGTATGGAAAGCAAACTCCGGTGCTATTGTCCTTTTCTTGTTTCTTTCTTCTTGCAGGTCCATATCCTGCTGTTCCGCGTGAATTTCTGCGCAAAGTGCCGCTTCGGAGATCCTCCCGTGTGCTCGAAGAATTGCTTTGGTGGCGCGCCACTGAGGACCGAGGCCGCCGATGACGACTGTTACGAAGGCGTCTTCAGAGATTGACCCTCCACATCGAAGAAGCTTGTCGCGCAATTCGCGACATCGGCTGATATACGCCAACCCTTTTTCTCCTGGTTTCATTTCCACTGTTGTCAGCTGCGCCATTAACCTGCTCTGGTTTACACTGTCTGTTGCCTGGTACAGGTTCTTCAGATGGCCGTACGCGAGT